GCCTAGTAGCCGAGCCTTCCTTGGGTGACCAGGAAAGTTTAGTTCCAAATGCTTTTAAAGAGAGTGTTGAAACATTCGCAATACTTCTCCACCACATTCCTCTATATCCTATACCACAGGCTAATACAGCAAAGATACACACACTTGCACAAAAACAAAGTAGTGTGTGAGTCCTGGAAGGCACACATAACCCCACAGAACATCTAACAACTGCTAGCCTGACGGCGGATATTGCTGTTGGCCCAATGAGTCCCTAAACAGTAAACACACACCACTGAGGCACATTACACATGCACATCTCCGGGAAAAGGGGGCATCATAATTAAATAAAGCAAGATTGCCTATTAAAATGTCTTTTTGCTTTTAAAATAGCTGTAATGTCATTCATTTCTTGCAGGTGGAATTATCATAAAAATAATTTTTAAAAGCACAATATTTTTAGGCTCAGGATTATTATGGATTATGTCTCAGGCAATTTACTTCAGTGACAGTGGATCAGTTTACTGATTTGTATATAAATAAGATCCCTTTTCTCATCCAGCTCAGAATAAGAGGATAACATTCTACATTTATAGAATTCCTAGTTAGTCTACATTTAAAAGCTCTTAAGGGTCTAGTTATGCTTAGTCACATCAAGTGCTTGATCGATCGGACTGCAATTTGACTAGGTATGCACATTCTGTTTACATTTAACCACATAAATGTGTCTCTGCCAAACAGATACCCTTATGAAATATGCAGAAGTAATAGAGTTTAGTTCTGTGATTGAGGTGGCGCATTAAAGCTACAACCATTACCAAAAAACAAAGAAAAACATGCCATATTGTCTTTGGGACACCTAAACTTTCACATAGGGGTGCAGATTATTAAACAACAATTATTATTGTCATGTTTTGGCTGATAACCAATACAAGGCCAGTATTATAATACTGTTTTGTCTAAATGAAGTCAAAATGAAACATTAGAAAATACAATTTAAAGGAATAGTTCACCCAAAAACGAAAATTTGCTGAAAATTCAGACCTCAGACCCTCAGGCCATCCAAGATATAGATGATTTGGTTTCTTCACCAGAACAGATCTGGAGAAATTTAGCATTACGTCACTTGCTCACCAATGCACTCTCTGCAGTGAATGGGTGCCGTCAGGATGAGAGTTAAAACAGCTGTAGATGAACAGATATAGATGAAAACACAATAATCCACAACATGACTCCAGTTAATGTTTTATGAAGTGAAAAGCTGTGTGTTTGTAAGAAGAAAATCCACCATTACAAAGTTTTTCAATTCAAACTGTTGATTTGAAATCAATATTGCTTTCTCCAGTGAAAAAGTCATCTCGCTTAAATCAGGAGAAAAATATGCACAGATTAAGCACCGTTTACAAGCAAAAACAGTCCAAAACAGTTCTAAACGATGTCTGTGGATTTTAATTATGGATTATGGAGTCATATTTTGGAAGTGAAGCGACAGTTAAAGTTAAAATGCCTTGATGGATCTGTTTCATACAAACCCACAGCTTTTCACTACACAAGACACTAACTGATGGACTGAAGTCATGTGGATTACTTGCATTATTGTAATTCCTTTCATTTTAAACAAACATCTACATCTCGGATGGCCTGAGAGTGAGTACATTTTCAGCAAATTTTCATTTTTGGGTGAACTATTCTTTTAATCATGTTAAATGCTAAAAGCAATTTAGGCAGCACAATATTATAATTTACAGAATGAAAAAAATACTCATTTTGAGATTTGCTAATGGTTATGTTTCACAGTGTTATAAAAATGTTATGTTTTTAAAGATTTACTTTAAGTGAGCAGTAAATGAAGGCAAAGGTATTGTGAATATAAAAAATTGTCATGCGGGGAAAAAAAAATATTGTAAAATAATAATTCTCTCGATTTACTAAATCATTTTGATTGAACTAAAATGGGGGAACAAACAATTTCTTTCCAATGGATTTTAAAGCACACATTTTGTTTCTTTTCTTACTCTGTAGGTGGGCAACAACAATAAACCTTGATGGGAAGCGCTTTGAAAGTGTTTTTCCATTGTGACTCTCCCTGTCATGCCACATTTAAACAAGTGTGAAATTATGGCTTCATCAGCCTCTTATCCGCTTTCTTTAGTATGTACTGATTCAGACACCACTCACAACAGTAAACGGCCACCCAGACTCAAAAGTCTTTGACATCGCTGTGATTTAGCCAATTTATTGCCTTTGGACTGCAGCTTGGGTTCGAACAGCTTCACCTGCTGTGTGCATAGAGTAGTTTGTGTTTGTAAACTCGCTATGTTTTCTAGGCAACTGTCATAACTGTTTTGCAGCATGGCATTCCAGGACTGAAGTGCTGTAAATCAGACACACACACTTGCCTTCCTTCCAGTTATTCCCTCCATGCTCATTGTCTCTCTAACCTCGTCCCTTTAAACGCCATCATTTCCCTTCCCCTTTAACCTCCTCTTTGAACCTTGTCCTTTTTGTTTTGCCCCTTCTCTTCTCTCATCCATTGTCATCACCTTCTTTTTATTTTCTCTTCATTCTTTCAATCATTTCTTTTAAATGATTTAAGCTTCACATAACTACTTTCTCTTTTCTGAAACTCAAATTGAAATTCAAATGATCTTGCTAACTATATCACTACTTGTTTTTCAGGCTTTCTGATTCCCTTTCCCTCCTATTTCATAGCCATGGAAACTAAGGGGGACTGGAAAAGCAAACAGGTAACCCATGGCAACAAGGGAATTGAGGGATTCAGGCTGAGTCACCCATTGAGCTGCCTGAAAAAGTTGCAGTTTTATCGGACACAGGTCCCTCGACAATAGTGTCAGAGATAATAAACAATCAGGCAGGCAGTTTTGATATGTCATACTCATTTATTGTATCATTTGAAAAAGTTCAAATTATCAGATTTTAAAAGAATAATTTTTTGTATCAAATTTTTTTTAAAGCAGTTTTCTTAAAATATTTTTTCTCCCTAAGAAATAATAAAAAAGATGCCTAACTACTCAATAAAATGTTATTTTCAAGAATTTCATTCTTTTAATGAGGCTTTTTATTTGTTATAATATCAGGACAGCTATATTACCCTGATTCGTATAATTTCAACTTTTTAATATTTTATTTGAAATATAAAAATGAATGCATGTTCATCATAGAAGAGATGTATTCAAGTCATTGTGTGTATGTATTTTAATTAGTGCTGTCAAAATTAGCGCGTTAACGCAGGTGATTAATTTTTCCAGTTTAACAGCGTTTAAAATATTTAACGTAATGTTCAGCAGGAGCAGTTATTGAAAAGAGGAAAGCAATAACTTATGTAGCTTTAAGGATTCATATATACTTAATTTAGAATTTAGTAGCCTATTTGATAACTTTATTCAATTTCTGTATATTTCCTACTTTAATGGGTTTACTTGAAGATTGTTTTAAGTTCACTTAAATTAAAAGTTGTTCTTTTTTAAAGTCTAATAAATGTTCAAATTGATAGCTCTCAATTACACTGTAATGTTGAATGGCTATAGTCAATGGTTAAATATTAAGGGGAAAACATTCCTAGAGACATCAGTAGTATTGCTATCAATGATACTCGCCTTCATTCATAAAAAAAGATGGCATTAAACAAATATTAAAAATATACAGTCTTTATGTTGTTTCTACATTAATTTGAAGATCGCATGTGAAAGTATTGCAATATTAAAGTATATTTAAAAACTTTAATGTTAGGTGGGATTCATTGCGATTCATTTCAGAAACAAATGTGTGATTAATCAGTTCATTTTTTTATATCTATTGACAGCACTATTTTTAACGTAACGGTATTTTTAGATAAATGAATAGATCCAGACAAAAATAAAAATGTGCGACATATCGTTGACCCTAATATAGACTTCAAAAATGGTTATTGGTGTCAAGTCACTGTATTTTAGGCTTATGACTATGCAAAAATTCATAAAGCTTGTATAATTTAATCCAGCATTCCCCTATAACAACAAACAAGCTTTCCAGACCAAAAAGAAAGGCCCAAACGTTGATGGAACAAACACAGATCATGTCTGATAGAGGCGAATCTAGAGGGATACAAGCTCGACACATGGTCGTAAAAAATGTGAGGTTAGGATTGGCAGGAAAAACTCTGTTGAGGCCATAGCGTGACAGTCTGCAAAGCATTCCAGATGTGCCTTGGATATACTTGTATCCGTTTTTATAAACCTAGTAAACAGTGACTAGTGTTTTCTCACACTTTTGATCGCATAAAAACCAAGTCACAAAAAAGTAACTAAACCGCTTTCCCTTTAGCCAGTTTTCTCGCTGTATTCAACAACTGTTTAGTTCAGCAACACAGACACGGAGTAATGTCAGGAGTAATGAAATCAGCAGGAAAAGCCAGAGCAACAGCCAGCGTGTGTCTAAAAAGAGTCTCAAAACAGTTCGGCTCCCAACATTTGGCCTCTCTTCTCCCACACGAGCCCAATCAGTTTATTTCACAGAACTTGATCCACATTCAGCTGTATGTATCAATGCTGAATCCCAGAACACTAATGTTATACGGTATCTAGGAATCACTGCATGTCCTCCTTTCTGACTTTAGTCAACTTCCAGACTGCTTTAAATCAAATCAATGACTCAGGACACACAAAACAAGGGCCACTTGCTCGGTAAGTCTAATTTATAGATTTGATTTAAAGTGATTTCATTATTTTGCTCAAAGGGATCATTTTGGGATAAAAAATGTATCAGTGTTTTCTGTCCATATAATGCAAGTCAGTGTGGTCTTTTGTTGTTTTGGATCCCATTGACTTTCATTACATGGACAAAAACAGTTGAAACATTTTTTTTTTCAGTCGAAAAATTCTACTTTTGTGTTCTTTAGAAGAAAGAGGGTCAGTTTTGGAAGACGTGAGGGTTAGTTAATGATTCCTTTTTTTTTGGGTGCACTATCCCTAAAGAACTCTTTCTGAACACACACTTCTCAGTGTCACAGTCAAATCTCTTACCTGCGACTCGCACAACTGCCCTCTCTGCGGGGTCCAGCACTGAGTCCTGGCTCTTGCGCTTGCGTCTCTCATGTTTGGATAGGTTCCATGGCAAAGTGTCCCCTTTGGGCCCGGCTGTGCTGTGGGCGCAGGGCGAGAGAGAGCCCCCGGACCTCTCGCTGCGGAACGAACGCTCGCTCACACACGAACGCTCACTCAGGCTCTCCTCGTCTGAGGAAGACATCTCGCCAGAGGGCTGGGAGGAGGTATATGAGGGGTGGCAGGGTAAAAAGGGAAACAGAAATAAGGTCAGGATGGAAACAGAAGCGTGTAAGTGTGTGAGATGCATAATTCATCACCCATAGGGCAACGTACTACTACTATACACCAGAGAACATGAGTAGAAAATAAGGCCGGATTTGTGAGAACATATCATTTGAACACTGCAATAAAATGAAAGTAAAAGAGATGAAGACAGATGCTTCTGGAGATCAGGTGAACAGCGCTGACTCACTTCAACAATGATGATGAGAAGGAAAAGTGGCAGGAGGATCGAACTCTCTTTTCAGTCACGGTACTATTAAAGCAGGTCCTGATCAGTATTGGACATTGCATTTGGCTGGGCCAGACCTCTCTGATGTGCATTCCTCTGTGATCAGCTGGAAGGAATGGAGCCCAAGGGGGCTAGAGTAGCTTCCTGTCCGTCACATTACTCCACACCAGCTGAACTCCTCAATATAAGTGAGCTCAGTGAAAGCTGTCTGGAGATGTGCTCCCCTGTCCAATCTACTCACGGCATTCATGAAAGGCTTGCTAGAAGAGCTATGGCTACTCTAGGACAGTATTTATATATTTTTTATATTTAAAATATTCATATATTTTATATATATTGATAGACATTATATATGTGTGTGTGTGTGTGTGATATATATATATATATATATATATATATATACACAATTGCAACTGTATTTAAAATTTATTTTATTATTTTATTATTCACTAAAATTCTTAATTAATTAAAGTATCTGAATTAATGGCAAATAAGGGTGTCCAAGATGATGTAAAAATATATATTTATTTTTAAAGATTTAGTGTAAAATGCACATCTAATTCTTGCTCTGTTTTTGTGTTGGTGTCATATGGTTTTTAAAAGCTTTGATACCATTTTCAACAAATGCTTTGATTTAATAACTCTAGAAATGTGGCGGAACCAGGGTCGTTGTCGGGGGGGACAGCCGGGAATGTTGTCCCAGGCCGTATGATGAGTGGGTTTTCTATGGTATAGCCTTCGAATTAAGTAGGGGGGAAGGGGGTTGGCACATTTTTTCCCCCCAAGGCAACACTTTGGGTGTAACCATAAATATTTTACAACATTTTTCTTGAATTAATTTTCATGAATTTTTGATATTTAACCACAACAATGGAATGACACTTTTATCAAAATTATCCTCTATTTCCTTAAAAATAGTTAAAATAAATGTTTCTATTTTATCATACAATAAATTTATATATATGTATGTATGTATGTATTTTTATTTTTTTACTTTTGATTAATCCTTTGTCCTGTGACCCAGTAGAGATAAATAGATGGATTGATGGATGCATATTTTTTTCCCAAATATTACTAGTTCTATTTCTTTAAAAAATAATAAAATAATAAAAAGAATATAGTAAATTACTTCTTTCAATGATTCTTTTTTTTCTTTTTCCATTTAGGTATTAGTTCATAATATTATACATAATCTGTATAATATCATCTAGCATGTTGCTAGAATGTAATTTCCTGTAGCTCAAACTGTAGCGCAACTTCAGGGTCATTAGTTTGATTTCCATATAACAAATAACTTGACAAAATGTATCTTTGTAAGTTGTATTAATGAAGTGTGAGTTGCTTTGGATGACAAAGTGTCAGTAAAATGCATAAATATAATGTTGATGTGAACGAGTCTGTCCTGGAAACCATTTCTACATATCAGAAAGTGTATATTCCCTGCATACAATCAGATATGTCCTTTACTGCTTCTCGAAAGCAGGACTAAGTTCACTCAAAACCATGTTGCTGAAGCTAGATCTCTTTGCCATCCCGCTGTTGCCTGACAGCATGCAGTTCAGTGGCAGCCAACAGATATAAATAGAGGCAATGCTGTTTACAAAACCTTGCTATGTCATTATGCCTGTGAAGGAAAAGGGAGGAAAGTACTGCTCTCTTTTACATTATTTCATCTCTCATTTCTTTCCTACCACCACACTAAGTTCACGACAGCTGAATGCACCCAGTGCACTGACAGAGTGTTGTTGTGTTGATTTAAAGTCTCTGTGCAACTGGGTCTGCATTTGCACAAAGAGTCTGGCTTCCCACAACGTTGGCCAAGCACATCCCAGAACAGCCTTATTATTGCACCACTGCTCCATTTCCCTTTGAGAGAAATGATAAGTTTGTGGAACAGAGGCTGGTGGCATTTGTTCTCTTGCTGTGTTTATACAATGTGTGCAAAGATGTGTTCATGCGCATTCACCCATGAGGATAGAAGCATCTGCTATGAGTAACACTGACACATCACTATACACACTCACTCAATAATGACACTTGCTGGGAATGGTTATGGAGGAGGGGATCTTATCATAGCAATAAATAATGGCTTTGCATTATTCAGAGCACTGTGGGCATTTAGGCATTAGTTCTTATGGAAAATATGACATTTATCATTCTGCACGTTTAGAGCAGTTTGTGCCTTTATATATCAGGGGCTCTAAATTGGTTTTGCTTCAGGGCCCATCAAAGTATGGACCAACAAAAAATCCTTAAAGGAATAGTTCACCCCAAAATGAAAACTCTGTCATCATTTACTCGCCCTCAAGTTGATCCAAACCTGTGTGAGTTTCTTTCTTCTGTTGAACATAAGAGAACATATTTTGAAGAATGTTGGCAACCAAATGGTAGCCACTAAGTTCCACAAGTCAATGGCTACAGACAACTGTTGATGACAGAGTTTAAATTTTTGGGTGAACTATCGCTTTAAAACCTTGTTCTGCTGAAAATCCTTTACCTAATTTGTTGTCAGTCAAAAATGACCAGCCTTTTTAAAACTGCTTGTAAATCTCTCATTATGCTAAATTATCACAAAATCTTGTCAGCTTGTTTTCTTTCAGCACAGGTTTTATATTTCTTTTGTAGCAATGATCATTTTGGCAATATTCACTCAAAACTGAGGTGCATAAACTCAGATCAATAATGCCTACGATCAATCAGTTCCAAAAAGAAATACAAAAACCTGTGCTAATTGAAACAAAACAAGGTGATAAAAAGATTGAATCCAATATTTGGTATTAATACAGCATAACAAACAAAAAAAGTAAATAAAAATTATAAGCACATTTTTGTAGGCTGGTAAACACCATAAAAAAAATATATGACCGAAACATAACATGAGGATTAAAATAATCACTGAAATGCATTAATTTAGCATAATATAATTACATTGTGGTAAACACTAACTTATTTTTGTTGTGAACCCATATTTAATGTAGTCTAGGTTGTTGTTATTCTATGGTTAGCTGCATTATGTTACTTTCATTTAGTTTCGTTTTCACCCACTGTCCACAGAAAAGACCTGTGGCCCATGTTTTTGGTCGAAACCCACCAGTTGAAAACTACTGATCTATTTCAACAAATCTGACCTGGGAACATGTCCTGCAAAAGACAGATACAGTAAATATAAAGTGCTAAAATAGACAATCCTGCTTGCAAGGAAAGTAGCATTTTTTGATTACTGGCTAAAATGTTTGATCGGATTTAATTAGTGCTGGAGTCTATTAAAAAAAATCACAAGACATGCCGCAATCACAGACACTATTTGTCCTATTTTTGAGGTTTTGCATGTTTACCAAAAGGCAGTAGCTACAATAAGCCCCATTTGATCAGATCAAGGATGGATTACGTACCAGGCCAATGGGGCCAGTGCCTGAGGCCTCTAACTGTCAGGAGCCTCGAGATGTAAAACTCATGTATGGACAATGCTTGAATGTGATGTAAATGAAGAAATTAGCAATATTATCAGTGCCTCTGAACACTTTTCTGCAGCTTTGGTGTCGTAATTGCAACATCCTGACTTTCTATCTTGCATTTGTGATTTCTAATATTTGTTATGTAATTTATTATTCAGACTTAGCATGTCGCAAAAACTGTGAGGGGCTCGTGCCCCAAACCTTGCACCATAATTTTTTTAAATGAGATGTGATAACTTCAAAGCATCTAAATGTATCTTTTGGAATGTCTGAAACTGAAATGAGCAGAATGGTTACACTCACACAGCAGGCAAACATGGTGTATGTGCATCTCTATAGGAGCACAGGGCCGGAAACCATCTGTGGATGTTGTTAGAAATAGCCTTTACCCACTCAACCTTCTGTACTTTCACATTTTAGCCCAGGAATGGTTGTGATTGTGTAAACACATTGAGCACAAGCCTTTTGTTCGTCTCTCGAAGACATGAATGAATATTCACCATTTATGAAGGGAAAGACATGTGCATAGATTCATAAATATTTCCCTAGGAACGCCCCTTCTTTCAACACGTTACCACTACCACAGGAAAGTGATGGAAAATCTGACTCATTTCGCGGATCGGTTCTTTCGAACAGTTCAACAGTTAAATGAATCGAATTTAGCGGTGCTTTACGTCATGACGGAATTATTATTGTTCAAGTTTCTGTATTTAGCTCACAAACTGGTCAGTTGTATGTAAAGACAAGATCTGCATATGAAACGCTAAAGTTAATAGGCTATACTATATGCTATACCACCATAGTTTACATTTAACGTTTTGTGTACTTTTTCTAAAAATACGATTTATTCAAAACCAAACTCTAATACAATTGTAAATCTTTCAATAACCATATTTCCTACGTCTTACTTGAAACATTGTCGGTGTGTTGTTGATTCAACCGCTCGGGCGGATTCAGTCCAGTTCGTTGACGAATGTGTGAACCGGCTCAACAGAACCACTGAAAGATCCGACTCCAAAGAACGATTCGTTCACACATCAGACATCGCTAGACCGTAATGAGGCGGAAACCGAGGAGAGTGACCACAGAGGTGTGCAGAGCCTCTTTGTCCAAACACACTGAAGAACGGGCCGTCTATAAAGACCCATTCATCCGGGCGTGAGATGAATACATCTCAGAGAGAATTAAGCACTTCCGATGCCCGATTATTAAATGGAAATGAGGATGCTTGCAGGAAATCTATGGTTTTTACCTGATGGTTAAGCGTTTAGTATTCAAACGTTAACATTATAACAAACACTAGAAGCTAAAATGGTGACACAAATATAAGAAAAAACGATGATTATCGTCGAAGCTGACGGACAGAATAATGACGGACATTTGGACCTTCTTACCGTATAACGGCAGTGCCCGTTACCGCACGCAGGGTGACAGAGGCGGGGATGCGCTGGCTCTCAATCCCGACAAACACACCAATCAGCCGGCCACGGAAACACTGACTCTCGGTCCGTTTTGCACCGACCCGGTAGACAGAGGAGCAGTATGGAGACTGTGATTCGGTAATGGCTGTCTATTCCCCTCCTTTCATATCCCTCCTTCTCTCCCGCTCTCTCTTTCTCCGGCCCCCTCCTCCTCCTCCTCTTCCTCACTCTTCTTTTTTCATCTACCCTTAAGCCCAACCCTCTTTAATGATGATGATGGTTTTTAATAATGCTTCATTATGAGCATTACATAAAAATCACACAAGACTAATCAAATTCAATCAAAATTCCTATCAGTTTAATCTAATAATCTCATTTCGATCTGAAATTCAATATAAGGAAAGGGTACACATCTCATTTTTGTTAACGCAACAGGATGCACAAACTTTAAATGTAGTTTTTAATATGACAAACATTGCATTTTTTGCAATGCTTGTCATATTAAAAACTACATTTACATGCTTATTTTTCAAAATAAGCATCTGAAACCAGTGATGGTTTAAACGATGGTTTGCTGCTCTCCCAGTCTGGACTCTTGGCTGGTTTTAGAGGGGTTTTTTCACGCTGGGAGACCAACCAGACCAACTTGACCAGGATGGAGACCAGCTAAGAGCAGCAAACCAGTTTAGACTATCAACAAGCATCCTCTGTGTGATAAATGTGGCCACATACACTAACATTTCCAAGATTTCTCCTTTCAAACACACTAAATACATTATTTATTTATATATTTTTTGTTTTGTAGTTACCTATAAAAATAATAAAAGCATAATAATGAATCTGTCTCTCCTCGTTGAGCTGCAGTGGACTTCAGTGACAGTGCAGGATTAACTGCAAACAAAACCCATCACAGAGGAGCAGCCCCGCTAAAAATACCAGTGGACATCCTGTGGACATTCTTTCCCAAATTTTAACTCTAGAAAGATTATTATCACGTGAAGACAAACAATATCTAAAATGACGTCAATTTGTATAGAGCCAGCTTTTGACCTTAAATAGGCTAAACTGAACCCATGTGATGCTGCACGGCTTCAGTCCACTCCTGCACTCGACTTTACATTTGACCTTTACTCAGACAGCTGTTCTAGCGTCTCAACAGAAATATCTAGCAGTTTATTAACCATATTCATCCAATTATTCAAGCAGTTTATAAGCCATTCTTATCCATTTATTTGCAAAAATGTCTCGGTAGTATAAAAGTAATTTCCCAGTTGTGCTATTTCTAGTGTGATGCTTCATTTATTAGTTTTAAATCAACAGTTCAAGTTAATTGAAGCTCAAAAATAATGTTTTTTTTTTACTGCCACCTACTGACCAACATACCAAATATAAATACAGTTGCATTCAGTTCAGGCTCAAAACCAGATTGAATATACTGTATGAAACGTTACAAATAATCAGATGGTCTCATGCTACCTAAAAGATAAATTCAAGCTTTTAAATTAATAAATAAATCATTACTATAAATATATGAAGAGTTCAGATGCAAAAGCCTCTAAGTGCCGTCTGAAATGTTCTACTAAAATGAGCATTTTTCTCAGGCTCCTGTGTGTAGGTTCAGTAATTTCACTTATATAGCAATGCAATGGTTCTTTTCATTGCAATTAAAGTGAAATAACTGAACATAAACATAGGAGCCTAAGAAAAATGCTCATTTTAGAAGAAACATTCAGACGCCACTTAGAGGCTTTTGCATCTGAACTCTTCATATATATATAATGATTTATTTATTTTAATTTACATTTTAATTTAGATTATAGTTTATTTTAATACATATTAAGGTGTGTATATATATATATATATATATATATACATACACCTTAATATGTATTAAAATAACAAACTTATAATCTAAATTAAAATGTTGAAAAACACAAAAAAAAAGATGTGAGCTAATCATATTTCTCTGTCCTCCTAAATGATAATTGTTCTTACTGAAGAACATACTGTTCTGCAAATTTCTGCCATCACAATACAAATTATGGTTAATGTAATATATCAATATTCCCATTTTTTGATAAAAAGAAAAATGTCTGAAAACGTCATAAAGACAGCAGAAATATTGTAGCTTATGGGGGGACCTTTGAATATTGTGCTTTTGAGTAAAAAAAAAATGTTGAGAACCACTGCATTATAATCAATTAGGTTTCAATAACTTGTGTAGCTCTTTTAGAGAAGCACACAGCCATGTCACAAGAAGAAAGAGAAGTTTGAAGAAAAAAAACTATGAATATCTAAAACTGAATTATTTTTAACCTATGAAATTATGGAATTATTCAATGGAGTAGAAGCATTACCAAATATATTTTTGAAGAATGTTTTTGTGATTATTGACTGAACCCCCCCCCCTCAAAATATCTTCTTTTGTGTTCCACAGAAAAAAGAAAGCCATGAACAACATGAGGGTGAGTAAACGATGACAGAGGGACAAAACGAACTGTCCCTTTAAAACTTGTATTACATATTTACACTAAATGATATAACAGACAGTGTACAGACACTAACAAGTACACAGAATCATTATATTTATTTCGCGA